TATATATATATATATATATATATATATATATATATATATATATATATATATATATATATATATATATATATATTTGCTGTTTCTTTCTTGTATCTCGAATGTATCACTTCTCAAACAACCTCATTGATATTCCAGGGTTGCAATTCAACACGGATAAACTTTTTTAGTTTCGAATAAATCGTTCGCTTTTTTGCGCGGAAAATCATTATTGACATACATAGTTCATTCTTCATATACATCAAATACGGGTGGTTTTACTGATGGCTCACTAGTACGATATTCTTTACAAAAATTACTTCATTCATCAAAGTAATAACATATGCAGTCTGAAATCTGGAACTTCCTAGGTGACTACTATTTCAAGCTAACTCTTAGCTATATAGTATGCTATGTTGATTGCTCAGATGCCAATGCCTGTGTGACTTTTTCAACTATCCATGAGGTTGAAGAAACAAAATTCACGATTTGTGAAGAAAATTTATATGAAAAATCTAAATAAAATATTATTTGATATAATTTTTGAATGTAAGAATTTTCAAACTGAAAGAAAAGCGTTGCAACCAAAACCCAAAAACAAAAGCATTCTTTACGTTGTTTCGACCCTCTATAGGTCTCATCAGTGGTGCCAAACTGAACCACAAATGCATTGCTGGAGTCAACCCTTCTTAAAGGACAAACCTGACAGTAGAGGCGGTGACATCTCCCCTCATAAACACGTAATTTATTGGATCAACAGAAGACTCAATCCACGAATATCTGTTCTACTGCCGATCCAATAGGTGACGTCTTCTTGAAGGAAGATGTCATCACCTGTACTTACTCAGATTTGTCCTTTGGGATCATTTTGGTTCAGTAATGTATTTGTGGTTCAGCCTAGTACCACTGATGAGACTTACAGCGGATCGAAACAACGCTTTCTGGTGTTGAATCAAGATTGCATTGTATTTGGCCTCAGATTACAACTAATTGCATTTCGGTGAAAGCAGAGTACGAACCTCGTTCGGCGGTCGATGATTTTTTAACTATTCGTGGATTAAATCTGCTAACGATCCAATACAAGCTGTCTTCGTGAGTTAAGATACCATGAAACGCACTATACAAAAACACGCACTTGCCGACTTCACTTCTGAGAAATTATTCAAACATTCTTCAAACTCAAGTTCACTTGAGAATGGTTTAACAAACCGAAACCTGTCGTAACAAATGAAAAACTTAGTAGAAATCAGACAAAAGTTATTTTCTTTGTCTTAAGTATATGGATTACATATTATTTCACAATTACCTCAATATGGGTATCAAATGACAGGGCTGGATTAGTAGAATAGTAGTACACTTTGAAAAATATGCAAATTCAAGATGGCCGCAGCAGATGACGGATTACATATATTTTCACAACCACCTCAAAAGTGGTATCAAATGACAGGGCTTCACTAGTAGAATAGTAGTTCACTTCGAAAAATGCATATTCAAGATGACCACAGCTACAAAATGGCAAATTATATATTACCTTGTAATACTGAGGCACTAAATGAACTGAACAGAACGAGAAGAGTAACAAAATTAGAAACTGTACACTTCAAAATAAAATGAGTAAAAAAAACTCATGTTGAACGGTTTCATTGAAAAAAAAAAGATATCAATGATGTAAATAATGTACTAAAAACTACAAATAATTCGGTAGGTTCTAGTTAGCAGTCATCACGCCACTCTCCTCAGCAATCTACGGATTCGATCAGATGAAAATAATAATGAAATCAGTGTGCGTAGTATTCACATATTTACTTAGGTTACGTTTCGTCCAACGATTTTATTATTATTTCATTTGATCAATACCGTATATTGCTGAGGAGAATGGTGTGATAACTGCTACCTAGGACCTTCCGAATAATTTTTTAGTTTTTAGTAAATCACCTACATCATTATTATCTTCTTTTTTTTAATAAAACCGTTTACCATATTTTTTTTTACTTATTTTATTTCCATTATATTTTGTAAAGCTCATTGATTCCCTTCGATTATTCACTATCTGACTCTTCTACTTATTGTGAAATTATTGGAATTTGTATTTTTCATTTGGAATCATTTGCCTGTGTTTCCTCCATTATCATTTGTATTATCACGAATATACCCATTAATCAAATCAGGCATTTATTGGAACAGATTTCTGAAACTTATTTCCATTGCATTGAGACTTAAAATATCCGCATTGAAAGCGCTGTCTAGAAGATAAAAAAAATTCTGGACGTCCGAATAAGATTTTCTACCTGCCATATCATGAAGCATGTTTAATTTATTTACAGTTTCTAACTTCGTAAAAATAACGTTTAATCATTGCGTGTCCTATTGTTCACATATAATAATGAATATTTATTATTGCTATGAAGTTTTCCAAATGTTATTGATTTTTCAGGCTACTGATGGCAAATACACATCAACATCTATTGTGAATATTACAATACTTGATGTCAACAATAATGCGCCCGTATTCTTGAAATCTAATTATATGGAATCCATTTTGGAAGATGTACCTGTTGGTGAGTTTTTCAATTTCTTGATATTCTTTTCCAAAATGTTTGAATTCCTAAGGTTCTTCAATTGGCGAAGTGCAAGCCACAGATGCAGACAACGGCGAAAATGCTGTGGTTGAATATTCGCTTCAAAAAGGTGCTTACGATGATTTCATGATCGATAATAGCAGTGGAGTTGTGACAGTATTAAGAAAACTCGATTTCGACAGAAGAAATACGTACAATATTGAAATAACAGCATCTGATCACGGTGAACCTAGTTTAACAGGAACCACTACCTTGACGATTAATGTGATAAATACTAATGACAAAATGCCATATTTTGTGCCGACAACTCAAACGACCGAGGTGAGTTGAATGATATTATGAAAGCAGTGTTTTTATTCTAGATATTTTAACTTTAAGGTATCATGTGGTATGGTATGTTGACGACATCTCAAATTCATATGGGATCTTGTAACTACACTAAATTTCGGTTATATTGGAATGATAAAGATAACAAATACCAAATTCATAACCGCAACTACAGTAATATTAGATAAAATAACATAAATATCTGGTTGTTGTTTTAGAAACTTTCCATAAACTAGAAATGTTTTACTTCCGATTTTTCTCTCTGAAACGTTTCAAAAAGTCAGTTTTTGTTACGTTTCAATGTACAAATATAAATACTTATTGAAACCATTCAAAACTATGTTATTTTCTGTTTCTGAATCATTTTCGAGAGGTTACAGAAATCAAAAATCATCTGTAAAATGGTTCGTGCTAGTAAACATTTTTATAGTGGAATTTCAATTGACTGAAGTTTGAAAGTCACTTTTTTGAAAGCGTTTCTATAAGATATGGATATACATTGCACTACGAATGATTTCACAATGTTCTGGAAACTACTAATTTGCAAAAAACTTTGAAGAAACATTAAATGTACGTCGTTTGGAAATTTTTCAAAAAATGTGTTGAAGGGTTGGATTAAAATATTTTACGGTGGTTTCATGTTTAGTGAGTTTTTTCATATTTTATCTCAATTCATGGATTAATTCAATCGTCCGTTTTTTTATAGTCATAGAGAGATTTTGATTTCTGTTTCTCATAATATAACTCTGCATTTTTTGTTATATAGGTAATGGAGGACGTATCTGTTGGAACTGTTGTTTACACTTTGATGGCGTTAGATCCAGATGTGAATACATCCGAAGCACTCAATTTTGCTGCAACTGAACCTATAACAGCCTTGAATAAATATGGTCAGGAAGTAATAGGTGATGATCGATTCAAAGAATTTTTTTCGGTTGATCAAAACACTGGCAAAGTTACTGTTGCCAATCCACTACTCAGAGATCTCGCCACAGTTGTTAGAATAACAGTTCTGGTGACAGATATTACTGCACCGACAGTACAACAAGGTCAAGGCTTGTTGGTAATCACAATTGGGGATGTTAATGACTCGCCACCAATGTTCTTGCCGCCGTGGACTGCTGAGAATCCTATTTACTATTTGGAGCTGAAAGAAGAACAGCCAGCCGGCACAATTGTAGCAACTTATAAAGCGATTGACGAGGATTCGGATATAGCAGGTTACATCATTCACCCCGAGCATGAGTACTTTCAAATCAATAACGGTACGGGTATCGTTCAACTGAAAAAAAAGATCGATTACGAAAAAACTAAAGAACTAAACTTCACAATAGTGACATTTGATACAGGTGTGCCTCAACTTAATGCGTCTGCAATCGTTTATGTAAAAGTCGTCAATCTAAACGATAATGATCCCATTTTCTCAGCCAATGAATATAATGCAAGTATAGATGAGAACTCTCCGAATGGTACATTTATTGTATCTGTTAGAGCTACAGATATGGATGCCGAGGAGTATGGTGAAATAAGTTACGAGCTAATAGGTGAACACAGCAAAAACTTTGCTATCGATAATGAAACTGGATATATTACGGTGGCCAATTCGAACTTCCTGGATCACGAGCAAATCAACGAAACTGTGATTCAGGTTGTTGCTTCGGATGGAGCTCCACGCAACGCAAGGAGATCTGTATCAGTTCCAGTTAACATAAAAATCAATGATATCAATGATAATCCACCAAAATTCTCCCGGAAAGACTACAACGTAACGATAATGGAAAACATAAGATTAAATCCACCAGTTCCTATAATCCAAGTTAATGCTACCGATGAGGATTCTGGACTGAACGGGAATATTCATTACAGGATTATATCTGGAAATGACAATGGTAAGTTTAGTTCCAGCCCAAAAATGGTTGTTGACAAATATGTTTCTTAAATAAAAAGTGTATTATAATATGGACAAGGTAAATACTTCATTAACTCCAAACATAACAAATCTTTTGAAACCGATCACTTGCAGTAGTATCGAATTACTTTTTCGTTGGTACCTGTTTCCTTCACCTACAAATTATGATTTTCTGTGTGAAGTTGTCAAGAGTTTCAACATATAAAGGGCAGTTAATTATGATTATCGCAATTATTGTTCAAGATATTTCTAACCTCGTTAAGGCACATCGACAGTGCCTTCACCTTGTCATGGTAATGAATCTTGTGTACTTTCATGGCCAAACCAGTAGCACAAACCGGATGGTCCGAGAGAAAAATGTCACGCAAAAAAGGGGTATCACCTCCTACGGTACGGAAGGTTAGGTTAGGTTAGGTTATCTGCGGTAATCCTTGCTTGTTCTAAGAGGCAATCAAAAAGGAGGTTTAATCCAATGGTGTTATACGACCCGTGCCGATGAATGGAACCTCTGAGATACCAGGCGACCTCTCAATTCAGCTATGCAGCTCCCTGCATAGATATACGGTTATCTATGCAGGGAGCTCCATGGATATGGGCAACCCATTTTCTTATACACTTGGGCACCAAATGAACCACAATCAGTAACGAAAGGGGAAGGACTCTTCGAGCAACTCCTAAAACTCGTAATGAGATTAGTACAAGCCTACCTAAAACACGGTAAAGTGTCTTCGGCATTACTCACAAAGATTATTGGAAAGTTTGATGTTGCTCCCATACAAGAACCCTGCATCTACAGGAGAAAGATCATGAGACTGGGAGAGATCCGGGTAGGTTCATTTACAAAAAACCTCAGAGACCCCAAGAACATGCATAATTATTCGATAAGTATTAAAAATATACTCTCCTTGATTAATTTTTGTGCCAAGGAATTGACGCAGGTGGAACTAAAGAAGGCTAGTGAAGAAATCGTTATTGGATCAGCAGACATATCACAGCTCATAATTGACTGAGATGCCAATGAGCACCATCTGACCGGGACGAGCACTGAAACCAATGAAAGAGGTGATCATTTACTACAGTTTATTATGGTAAACAATTAAGACATTCCAAATATAGGCGATAACAAAAGGTTAACAAAAGGCGTGTGGAGGTATCTGTATCTGTAGAGTAGGGAGGGTGAGTGTAAGCCCACGCACTTAGGCCACATGTGACCCATTGTACATCCTCCCGAGGAGTTGTCCTCCTAGGTCGTCGTCCATCCTGTCCTTTCCAGGAAGGTGGACAGGTCGCTGGGAGACATCTCCTTTATATCGGCAGGTGTAGGCCAANTAGGCCACATTGGCTTCCCGGATAGGACCTCCAGTCCCCTGGCCGTTCCCCTATCCGCCACCTGGGGACGTGCACGATAGGTAGCCCAACCCACGGGCGTGTGGAGGTAATAGACCTGTAGTAAAAATGTAACTGGTTTGACGAAAGAAGTTGTCCATATTTGAAATTGGAGAGTCTCATACTTCAATCAGTTCTTATCAAAATAAACTGGAAACTTGTTTAGACCGAATGAGTTTTGTAATCGAAGATTCTTCAGACTGAGAGTTACAGCAGACCGATTACTGGTAGTATTATCTCTACTTACAAGAAAATTGTTTCACCGTTAACCAGAGATCAAACACGAATTACTGTTTACTGGTGGAATAAAGATTTGGCACGGATGAGACAAGTGACTACAGATTAGAAATACTTTCAAAAGGGCAGCAAAATTGGGTATCTGAGATCAAATCAAAAGGTCTCTAACTGAAATCAACGAAGAACTGAGGTAATCTGAGAGAAACTTATGAAGAAGGCAATGCGAAGAGGTCGAACAGACCGATGAATAATAACTCTATGAAATACTCTCCAAGAAACACAGAAACAGAGAGACTATGGAAGAGCTTTTCCGGATGCACTGGAGGTCCCTGAAAACCCATTTGGAGAGGACTGGCTGGTGACAAAAAAAGTGGTAGGTTTGGAGAAAATTAAAAGGGTCAGATGGCATTCATCCATTAGTGCTGCAAAAAATCAGAACTTCTACTTGAAATCTTGTGTATAATCCTCAGAGAAAGTTTGAAATTGAAAACACTTTCCCAATACCAGAACAAAAAGTACGGTCTCTCGACGCGCGTTTCGCCAACCAATTAAGCTTCCTCAGGAGATCATTATGACTATGTTTTACTACTATGTTAGTATTTTCATATGCTAGTGGCCTAACTACTACCTGTTATTGTTCCTATGCTATAAACTACCTGTTTTTTAATACCTCTAATTTGTTATGTATTTCCTCTATTTAGTGATTATCTCTTATATTTATCTGTTTTATATTTAGAATTATCATGCATGAGACTAAACAAAGGGCTGTTCGAAATAGGGCCTTTGTCGCTATTCATAGAACTCATTCCGCACTTTTCAATTTCCTATGATTAGGTCCTATTTCGAACAGCCCTTTGTTTTGTCATATACGTAATAATTCTAAATAAATAACAGATCAGATAATCACTAACATAGGAGAAAAATATAACAAATTAGAGGTATTAAAAACAGGTAGTTTCGCATAAGAACAATACCAGGTAGTAGTTAAGTAATACTAACCGGTGTAGTTAGGTAATACTAAGAGGTGGTGGTTGGGCCACTAGCATATAAAAACATAAAAACACTAACATAATAGTGAAATTTTGCTATAATGATCTCCTGAGGACGCTAACTTGGTTGGCAAAACCTGCGTCGAGAGACCGTAATTTTTGTTCCGGTGTTGGGAAAGTGTTTTCAATCTTACGCTAGGGGTTCCAGTACGAATTGTCAAATCAGTCTCATGTATTTTGCATTAAACATTAGACACAGCTCTGGCTAACAAACCACCAATCTCCGTACCGATCAGGTTTGTCGACGGAGACGGCGCAATGCCAGGTCACTTAAAAAGAAGAGTTAGCTTACAAGAACAAGGAAGTTCTTTTAGCTGTTTTCTTGTATACTGAGGGCACATTTGATAGTAAGACCCTAAATCAATTATCCAGGCGTCGAGGAAAAGAGGAATCGACGACACAAGCTGCAGGTGGATATGCTGCATGATAAGAGACAGATTGGTATTCACAACCATTTTTCACTCTCCACACAACCATCTTCAACCATCCTAACGTCACTCAGATTTTGAAACTGCTTACACAATTATTCATCATATTGCTTTCAGACTTGTCATAAGTGATTTTATTACATCCATATGAGAATATTTGAAATTATCAGTACTAGAATCTCCTTTAAATTATGTTACCATGGCAATAACCGGTATATCTCTTCCGGCAACTGATATCTGAGTGATCAATCAACTCAGTTTCCTATTTAACTGTGCAAGAACTTTATTATCATGACTAGAAATCTGTTATCATGAAAAATATTTCATTTCAAAAACCTGAATTCAAAAGAGTACTTTCAAAAGTATCCATTTTTGAGAAATTAAAATAATCTGTATCCTCTTTGGCGATTGTCCCTCAAGCCATTATTCTACCATTTCTAGCTCCACCTCAAAACTCTCAAACAAATTAATATATTTTTCAGACTCATTTCTGTTGGGAATCGAAACTGGGATTCTATATCCGCACAAACCTCTGTTTGGTCAAACGAGAGAGTTCCATTTATTAGTTGAAGCGAGAGATGGAGGGGGTAATGGGGAATTATATGATCAAGCTACCATTAATGTACATGTTCTGAACGTGAATGAATACAGACCTGAATTTATCATGCCAGCTTTGTCAAACGCTACAGTTGAAGTTTTGGAGGTGAGTTGGAAATTCTTTTTCATTCCGTATCTTCGAAACAAAGCGCCCTATCAAAAATCATCAAAAGACAAAATATCCAAGGAATAGTCCATTAAATTTTTGCCGCATGTTCAATAAACACCCTATATAATCTATAAAATATCAAAAAAATATTCATGGTATCAAATATATTTCACACTATATTGCAAAGATACTGGCGGTTTTTGTCAAGAATTATAAAAATCTATAATTGTGGTAATTTGGTCTAGAGAACACTTTCTCATCAAGACAAGCACCGATATTCAAATGAGAAATTGCATTATATATCAATGAAGTTTGCATTGAATTTACAATCAAAACCATCATGTTATACATATTTTCTGTATTCGTAAATTTTCAGAATGCGGCAACCAAAGACTATCTGGTTATGACTGTTAAGGCAGTAGATAAAGATGAAAACGAAAATGGAAAGTTATCATATCATTTCAAAGTTGACGGTGAAAATGTTCAAGAAACCAGTGAATTTATTATCAATCCTATCACTGGTGAACTGAGGACTAAACAAGTATTGGATCGAGAGATGAAACCAAAATATCAGGTACACGAACCGATATCGTTATTGAAGATTTTAAATTAATTTCATGCTTTTTCATCCATATGTACCATTTTGTGAAAAAAAAATTCCTTAAATATCACTGAATTTTGATATCATAAGAAACTATACAGGGTGTAACTGAATAGGTGTAAAACATTCAAAGAGGTGATTCCTCATCGAAAAAAAGATAGGATCTTTCATATAAAGAAACTTCATTGGAGCATCCCTTGTTAAGGTACAGCCCCTTAAAGGGGCTACATACAATTTGTATAACAATTTTTTTCACAAGCACTGGAAAAGTTACAATTTTGAAATTAACCTGACGTTTTGTACTACCAAAAAGACACTCAGTCAGTAATTTTTTTGGTTTACCCCATGGTTGTAAGGGGTGGAAAACGTAACACCTAAAATTCATTTCCAATGTAACTTTTTGTCTTATTATTTGTTTACCATTTAAAAATTTATTTCCGATAGCCTGTTCCATTCTAAACAAAAAATGTATCTTGGATTTTTTGCCCAAAATAAACCAGTTCGCAGCAAAAAATTATTTCACGAACAATTACACAGATACATCGTCATAAATACGAACTGGATTTATTGTTATTTTGTAGTTAGTACCTGCATTAAACGATTAAAGGGTAATAAACATAACTAATTTATTAATAACAAAACACACAACACGTAGAAATCATAGTTAATGTTCGATATGTCTACCTTCAGACATTACGCATGCGTCTAGACGTCGGCGCATTGTGCCACGTTTTCGCTCAAATATTCCTGTAGTCTCTCTGATTACCCTGCACGCATCGATGATGCGGTTTCTTAAGTCCTCTACATCGCGAACAGGAGTACGATAAACCAAATGCTGTAAATGGTCCCAAATAGAGAAATCGAGAGGATTTTAGTGCTTGTGAAAAAAAGTGTTATACAAATTTTATGTACCCCCTTTAAGGGGCTGTATCTTAACAAGAGATGCTCCAATGAAGTTTCTCTAAATAAAAGATCCTATCTTTTTTTCGATGAGGAATCACCTCCTTGAATGTTTTACACTTATTTAGTTACACCCTGTATACTTCTTACGAGAACCAGTTTTGATATTTGTTTATGCTTTAGTTAATATTGGTAGCTAGAGATCATGGAACCCCGAAATGGTATGAAACAATTAGACACCTCACTGTTCTTCTGGTAGATGAAAATGATAACAGACCAGAATTTCCGGGTTCTAAATCGACGAATCCATACCACTTCTTCGTTACAGAAAACAATGACAATGATGTATTGATAGGTAAGCAAATAATTTGAACACTTAGATAATAATTAGCATAAGCTAACTCATATACTTGATGATCATATAACAATAACAATTCCTTTCGTGAATACATTTCTATTTTTGCTATGTATAACTGCGGATAAAATATCATAGAACATTTAAATTGAAGGGGTTATATTTTTAGGAGTGATTAATTTTTGGGAAAGAACATCTTGTGGAAAAATATTATTTTGCAGAAATTTTGTCCTGTTTTCATTTATAAATTACCGTTACCTCCAGTTTGATCAGAAAGAATATCATGAACGAATGTTATATCAGTTTCAAATTGAGTAGGATATGAATTATTGAGAATTCTGTAAATTACTGTCAAGGCATCCAAAATTGTATTTTTTCAATCTGTTCAATAGGGGTATATCTATCACAATTGAGAATAATTATCCTGAGAGCCTTAGTCTTTCCAATGAAACATAACAAATCATGTTTTTCAGTTGAAACATTCAAACATATTATAATATAATACAACAGATAAATGGATGAAAGGTACAATCTATAATTTTGTTGAATTTACATGCATGTTGCATTTCGATGCATTTTTGTTACACCCTAATATCAACCTGCTCATCTGTATTCGTTTATATTGATTCTAAACAGTCTTGTTTAGGTAGATTTGTCTAGTTTCCCTTTACATTGAGTTAAAAAACTCATGAATCTCCTTCATCTTATAGGGGTTCCAGTAAAAACTTCATCGAGCATTGTGATCGAACAAAAATTCGTCATAGCTTGCTTCAACTTTTGAACTGAAATTTTGAAGAAGCAACATAGGTAGACCATAACGAATTTTTTGCGGTAACTGTCTGGTGGGTCAGGTCATTTTTTTCCAGGGCACTAATATAGTTTATTCAACGAGTGTATCTAATTAGGTTGAAATGTCAAGAAAAAAAATCCCTTTTCAGGTATTTGGCCATGAAAAAGGCCAAAGGCACTGTATATTAACTTCAGAAATTATTTGTATCATATGATGAAACCCTTGCAGCGACATATTCACTTGTTTTTTTTCAGATAAAAATGTATCTACAATTGAATTCCCACAATTGAATTCAATATGTTTGAATTTTATATCACATCCAAACATTTTCAGACTGACTGACGTCATGAGTTTGTATATATTGCTCGAATATTATGCTATGAATATTTTCACCAAGTGTCTATCGTCAACCTGAAGTCCCATAATTATGGAAAATTATAGATTTCATGGTGATAATAGACACTAAGTTGCACTGACGAGTGGCGAAACATCTCGAAACCGGTCTGCAAGTGTGTTCCAATAGTTGAAAATAAATTCCAGTAGTTGTATCGCCAACAGCAAATGCAGAAATAACTTCAGTAAAGAATCCTGCACTGACACCTGTCGAATATAATCCAATACCCTTCCATAAACCTACAGTGTAGGTCCATTGAGACTGGCCTGAATGAATTGTTCTTGTAGATAATTTGAAATTGTTTGGCTAAATATGTCCAATCATTGTCTACTAGGTACGTTGCCGCTGTTTCATCCAACAAATCATCAAAACAAATACATTTGGATATATCTGCAGGAGAGTCACATACAGGGCAGGACAGGACAATTTCAATTTGAGTAAAAAGCATCTTATTGATTTTTTCAATCAGAGGACCTAACAGTATTTTTTTTGTTTTCTTCATAGTTTTTTGAGATTATGATATAGTGTTATAATTAATTCAACAATAAACAATAAATAGTTTATTAAAAGAATAATAATTATTATTTTTATCAATGCTAACTATTATTATCATCAGTTCACACCGAAGAAATCGCAGGCAGAAGCTATTGCTCACATAGAGAATCTGTAATAACTGCCGTGGAGATGACATTTGACAGTGACAATTGAAAATACCTGAATTTATTGAATATTTTATTTTGAATCATATTCCTCGCAAGGAAGAGAAGCCGTCACAGCCAGTGCTTGCACCTCCCTACAGCGAGGGGAAACCAGCAAATCAGGAATAGCAGACCATGTTTGAACCCATCAACACAACATCGAGTGGTCCCAAGCTGAGATCTTGCCCAGAGAGGAACATTGGTTTAGGAGAAAATTCAAGGAAGCCGCATACATGTTGTCCAACAACGTATTCAGCCAGGCCAGCGTAGAAATACGCAACATATGGAAACCCATCAACAAGCGAAAAATGGCCAACTCCCGCCAAAACGGTCATCTCCCACGAAACCAGTGAAGCGAAAAATGGAAAGCAGGGATAAGTGAAAGTATTTGAACCACCTATAAATAGTCATCTCTCGGAGGAATCAGTCCAGTCATCACCCGAAGACGATTATAGATACTAACAATCGAAACGTCGTGAACTAACGTGACTTGGAATCGCTACACTTTTTATTTTTATTTTCTTTTTCATTCCTTTATTTTTATTCATTCAATTGTTATATTTTTACTTGTAGTTTATTTCACTATCATTTCATTTCAGGTTTATTTTGCTTAATAAAATTGTTATTTTCAGCTATTCATTTTTAATTCTTCTTTTTTAGTTGTTTCAGGGATTTCAAATCATTTTATATAGTTGACAATGGAAGTCCGAACTAGTGAAAAAATTACCTATTCGAACATTCCAATTTTTCAGAAGGATCTTGCATCGACACTCTCGGAAATTTTCAATGCATATATTTGACTCGCACTATTGTTTTTATCTTTCCGCAATTCAAGTTATAAAATTATTATTTTTCCTCATTTCAGGTAGAGTTAAAGCACTGGATAGAGACGAGGGAAACCACGCCAAAGTGTACTACTACATCTTATCGGGTAACGACGACGGTACATTTCATCTAGATCGGTCTGATGGTGGTCTGTACGCCAATAAGTCTTTCGATCGAGAACAAAAAGAGGAGTACGATCTGCTCGTCATAGCGAATAACGATCCAAACTTCCTTATCGCCTCCGATGAAGCTCATCTCGACGACACTGATAGGAGCATTGCGAAAATCAAAATAACCATCAACGACCTCAACGACAATCCCCCGATTTTCGAGCAGAGCATTTATTACGCCGCTGTTAACGCGATGGCGAGCATTAACGACTTTGTTACCAATATCACGGCTTTCGATCCCGATTTTGGACTGAACGGATCGTTGACTTACTACATAAAAGCCACTAATTTATACAAATTCAATTCAAATAGGAGTTCTGGTTCGATAATTCCCTCTCCTTTCAACATAAGTGATAAGGGTGAGATATGTACCGCTACTTATCTCGCGGAAAATAATCAGCATAGGTTCGTGATCGATGTTATTGCCAGGGAGAATGCTTTTCCAGAGAGAGAAGCGAATGCCAAAGTATATGTAAGTTCTTAATAGTTTCAAGCAAAAGTTATGTAAGTTTCATTATACCACGACTTTTTGGAGTAGTACAGGGTGCGTTAATAACAAGCTGATGTTTAATGGAGATATTTTGAGTTCTTTTCGAAGTCCCAGGAACATGTTTGTTTGAAACGGATATTTTCTGTACTGATGAGAGATAATAGCTCGAAACCGGTCTGTAGGTGATCTATGTGATGGAATCGGTAGATACTTGATAAAAATCAATAACGTATTCAAGAAACACTTCATTGTGAGATTTTCAATAAACACAACACGTGTTTCGCCATGCAATAGTTGTATGCAACAGGTGTATCTTTACACAATAAAGTATTCCTTGAATATGTAGGTGATCTACTTGATTGATTACAGCATGGTCCTCCCGCATACTCCTAACCTCTGGAATCTCATACAGCTTATGTCTTGCATAAATGTATGTCGGATATAATTCAATATCCAGCGTGGTATTAGCTGAAAAAGTAGTTGTTTCCCGACAGGCAATTAGCATAACCTACTGTGTGGGTACGTTGGCAGAGATGAATGTCTTGAGATTTTTATTTCGAAATATTAATTTCCTCATACATATGAATCTCTCTTCGATACAGATTCCAGACTCATTTTGATTTCTGTGAAAATAGTTGGTTAGCAATTGTTATTTTGTGTTGACATAGTTTTGCTTTTTGAAACCCAATAATCTTTTCCCAATACGATATTAGCAGTCAAATATTCATCAATTAATTATTAGAGAAAATATGGTATTTCTAAATACTTCTCCAAAGTCATAGAGGTAGTAGAAATAGTATTGAATTTCATGCATAATTGCCTTGTAGGTTTGGATATTTGAACCTGAACAGCTGATAAGAGTGATTTTGTCAAGACCGAAAGACGAAGTTCTGAAGGAAAGGGAAGAAATCATTGCTGAACTCAGTAACGCAACTCAGAGTTTGGTCATCATTGATGAAATCAGATACCATATTGATGATAATGGCGTAAAGAACGAAGAATGGTAAGATAAATCGTTTATGTATATTAGAATCTAACGAGTTTATTGATGAAAATCAATCAGGTTCAAACCATTTTATTTACTCTTGAATGACAGCTTTAGGCTATAATTTAAATAAAGGGTGAGACGTCATTAATAATAGTTTAGAAAATTACAGTCATTATTCTTCATTTCATTTGAATTGAAGTGTTATATTTTTAGGAGAGAAAGGTTTTGGGAAAAGGTTTTGGCTTTCTACTTCTCCATCTTGATACAAAAAATGTGAGTGAAAGTGTTTCCTGTAAGTGAAATTTCACTTCTTTCATTTATTATATGATTTGATTCTATTAGGGATAATATAAAAGTGTTATTCGTATAAATCAGCGATCATATAAAAGTATTTGTATCAAAAGTATTTTTCTTTTGTGTAATTCAATTTTTATATGAAAATAGCTATTTCGAGAGGACTTTCTCTTCCAGTGTCTGTTCCAGTGATCTACACATCTATGTATGGAGTTAATTTTTGAAATTGATTGCTTCCTTTCGTTTTTTGGAAGATTCCCACATTTTTTGTATCAAGGCATAGAAGTAGAAAGCTAATACGTTTTCCCATGAATTCATTTCATCTGAAAAGCATAAAAATATGCATAATCATTTATACATGACAAACTGTACGACTATTTTTACAGGTCTGACTTATATATTCTCGTGGTGAACCACAAAACTCAAACAATTCTTCCCGTACCTGAAGTTTTGAAAACCATTGACTCAAAATATGACTTTCTCAAGGATTATTACGCCGGATTCGCTATTGAGAATGTTGTTCCTGCTTTTATGACAGAAAAAGCTGAAACATTTGATCCTGCACTAGTAGCATTGATAGCTCTACTTATTGTACTAATAGTTGGAATCATCACGTTCATCATAATTTGCTGTTGCTTGAGACACTGGGTTATATCACCAACTGACCTAAAGAAAAAGGATGCTCTGATCAAGAAAGCGATCATTGATGACTTAAACACGACAGAGAATCCATTGTGGATAGAACAGTGAGTTGCAATTTTATTGATTCATTATCACAACACAACAAAGTTTTTGTTTCGGGGTTGAAATTAGATGATTTTAATGTATTTCCACGTGTTAAAACCGAAAGTGACCATAAAAATTATATATTAGCTCTTGTTTTCAAGATATAGTATCATTA